TTTTGGGGGGGAGGGTTTTGGTCTGCGGGCGCATGCACGAGATTGTGCTGCTGGCATTTCCATCATCATCCTCATCTGAGAACCTGCGGAGCTGGACCTTCCGAGTCCAGCCCCCGTCGAGGACGCACCGTGGGGGAATCGAACTCCCCACCTCCCTTCCGAGTCCAGCCCCCATCGAGGAGGCACCGTGGGGGAATCGAACTCCCCACCTCTGGCTGCCTGAAACCACTGAGCTATCCAGCAATATACGGTCAAAAAGAGAGAGAGAGACATTTCTCCCCTCATGTTTCTGTATCCTCAATAAAAGATATCCATTCATTCATTCAATATATCTTACTCCATCTTTCTCCTTAAAAAGCTCCTAAGATTTCCTGGAGAGACAACATTTGAAGCTGAGAATTATCAGTGTGCAGCAGTGGTTTGCAATTAAAAGATGATATTTCAAGGGAAGAGCCATGGTGATTGCTTTGCACCTCAACACCCCTGCAACCAGGATGGGACCCAATTTCTCCATGAGTTTGGAAGAACTGAGGACAGGAGGTTTTGAAGGTCACTTATGGGTTGCAATAAATGGGATGCAACTTGACAGCCCCGAATAACAACAGCAACAATTACTACTCTCTGCAGGCTGTCTTTTTCTCCAGCCACAGGGTTCTAATATTCCCAATTTGGCTTCCTCAGGGTATGGGATTGCCCTGTTTCCAGGTGCCTCTGCCTCCACGGGCTTCCAGCTGCATGCTTTGACCAAAGGCGGGAGAAGCTTCACTAAATAGACTCCCCTCCTTTGTCTGTAGCGGGGCTAGGCAGCTCTGGAGGCCGGGCAGCCAGTTTTCTCACCATGGGATTTTCTGAGGGCCACACGGATCACCAAAAAAAAAGGAATGCAACACAAACCAGAGGCAGTCCCATTTTGAAACAGTGTTAAACATGACGGACGTTGAACCCCAAAGGGGAGTCGGGTAACTCATTTGAGTCGCCCTTCCTGGAGCCTTTGTGAGAATAACAATTGCTTCAAGCTAGCATCTGCTTCCAGGTTGCAACTTCTCTCTTAACGAAAGGTAAAGGTTCCGCTTGATATTTTAATCCAGTCATGTCCAACTCTAGGGCGCGGTGCTCATCCCCGTCTCCAAGCCGTAGAGCCAGCGTTTGTCCATAGACAGTTTCCGTGGTCAGATGGCCAGCGCGACTAGACACGGAATGCCGTTACCTTCCCACTGAGGTGGTACCTATTTATCTACTCACATTTACATGCTTTCGAACTGCTAGGTTGGCAGGAACTGGGACAAGTGACTGGAGCTCACTCCATCCCGTGGATTCGATCTTACGACGGCTGGTCTTCTGACCCTGCAGCCCAGAGGCTTCTGCGGTTTAGCCCACAGTGCCACCACATCCCTTCTCTCTTTACTACAGATTACTTAACCTCAGATTCTATACAGGTTGAATTTTGCATTTTCCTGGTCCTTCCTTCACCCTTAAGCTTTGCAGTGTCCAGTCTGGGGAAGAATTCCTGAAGGAGTAAAAAGGTCACTTTTTTCAACGGACCAATAATAAAAGTAGTACCAAACCTTGATTTTAGCTTTGGCTTATGGATCACGTGACTGTGCTTGCTTTTATGCAGGTTTGAAAAACCCATTTTAGATGCTACTGGTGCATCCTCCGCATATGTTTGCTAGCACGTACTTTTGGGAGGACTCCACCACCCTCTTTGCACGCGTTCCCAGCAGGGAAGTTGCCAAGTCATCCTCTAGGCCGGGGGATCAAGGTTCTGGTAGTAACATATAAAGCCCAAAATGGTTTGCCACCTGGAAACCTGCCAGAACACTTTTCTTCCAAGTTCTTCTGCCAGGCTTATTCAGTCCCCCGAAGCCTCACTCCCGTGGGTGTTAATACCAAGAGAAGCACGTCGGCACGGAACAGGGCTTACGCCAGGGTGGCACCCTCTCTTTGGAATGCCCTCCCACAAGAAATAGAGCAGCCGCCCTGCCCTCAGACCTTTAAGAAGTTCCTTAAAAATGAAACTTTTTAAAGAAGTGTTTGAAGAGGCCCTCCATAATGGGAAAGGGGAGGAAAGAAGGAAAAGAAAGAATAATAACTAGAATACCTATTTGTCAGTTTATCACTGCCTATTCTGCTCTGCTTGTTTTTGTTGTTGTTTAGTCATTAAGTTGTGTCTGACTCTTCGTGACCCCATGGACCAGAGCACGCCAGGCCCTCCTGTCTTCCACTGC